TACACAAAGAGCATTTGGACCAGCGTTAAAGCATTTTCATTCCCTGTGCCCGTGAGGGCTTATGAGAACGTCAAGCATGATCCTTACACTTGAAAACATGAATCAATAATTGGGTTATACTCTGCTAATAAATTACTGACAATGAAAATTTTACGTATTTTTTTTTATTTCACTTAAAGAGCAAAATATGTTTTAAATATGTTGTGACCCTCCTGAGCTCAGTCATGGGGCCCAAGAGACACGTTTTTCTGTCATATTTCACCTGATGATGGAAGCAGAAACCAGCTTCATAAACGTTTACATTTTGTAATATTATAAATTTCTTAATTCTCTTTGAGGAAATAATCGCTGTTTACACACAGTCGTTCAATGATTATAAATACAAAACGAAGAGTTACCTATCGTTAAATAAAGTTATGCGTGTAGCTCCATTTGGGCTTCAAGGGGTTAATAATCTAGCAGAAGCATTTTCTTCCGGTGCAGACAGAATTACGGACATTAAGCGTCTTCAGGTTTATTTCTCTGATTCCATTTCCTTAATGCATTGGATGTTATTTTCCTAATTAAGTCATGCACACATTTCAAGGAAGAAACATGACGCTGCAGTTTAAGACTCTGCGTAATAAAAATAAGTTTTATTACCAGTTCGTTCCGAACGCTCTAAAGATCACATCGTAAAAGACACTAAAGACATGGAAATAAAATAAGAATGGGATAATTTAAGGTATTTATAAGGAGGCCTGTTCGTACAACAGAACGTACAAAGTGGTCATAAAAGTGAATATAATGGCAGGCGGTCTCACAGGAAGACGTTCCTCGTTAGAAAAAGTTAAGACGCTTCTCGTAAGTAATTTGTTATTTTATTTCAAAATGGCATTAAAATTGTTTATATCTGTGGCACCTGAGACAAAATTTAATTTCAATAGGTTTATATTTCGTGATAGAACTTTTACTTTGCGTAAAAAGGTAAATTTAAATGTTTAGACAGCAAAGTGCTTTGAAATACATCCGGGTTCCTTGTGCCGTATATCAGATATTCGGGAAGTTTAATAAATTACACATGGAGAGAAATATTGTATCCGTGCTTCTCATAATATCTTTGGTAAACCCGAATGAAGAGATTTGCGGTGGGCTAATGAAGCTGTAGGAATTCGAGAGACAAGAAACGCGAATGGAATATTTAGATAAGCCTCTTGGAAAGAGTCCAAGTGTTTGACTGTGATCTGCACCGAAGGTTACGACACTTTGAAATCTGTTTACCCTTTGAAGCCGAAGCTCGTCTAAAACGAATTTAGAAATTCAGTCCCTTCCTCAAAGAGAACACAATACTTCGTGTTTACAAGGATTATCTTAGTGATGATGTTTAAGGAAACAGTCACTGTGTGAAATGCAGAGTTTTTGAACAAGAGTTTTTGAATATTAAACCAAGTGGTACGTGCAGTAACCACTTGGATTTAATAGGTTATAAAGATTTCTAGGACGTGAGTCTGCGATAGGTTATTTTAGCGATGTCGTTTGTGGTCTTTTGCGTTATGCCGCCTTGCGCATAGCTGATTCGTTTTTGTTTTTGAGACAACCTGACAGAGCAGCTGTATGCTGTTCCCTGTTTTTCAGATTGCTGTCTGGACTGGGCATGCGAACATTGAAGAACAACTCACTACAAACGTACAAGGACTCTTTGCAAGATCTGTAAGTATGAAACATTTCAGGGCGGTTATGTTCACTGTTTATGTTGACATATTCTAAGGTCCATATGAACTTAAATTCCCCCCACCCTTAATAATAGCAGGCAAAATTTAATGCGGTGGGAGTCCCTTACACAAGCAATCCATTTGAACAGTGTTCTAAGAATATGCTAATTTTCTTTTCTCTTGTCTCAAGTTATCTGATTCACATGTGGGTCAGGGTAAAACCACCTAAAACCTCTTTGCAAATTCCGGTTCTCCATGCCACTTAAATAAATTCGAAGACTCTACAAAGGTTTTATTCATTCCGGAGCGGTTTTAGCTCGTGTCAATAAAACACAGCCCTCTCGCGAACTATTTTATCGAAACTCACAAAGCTTCAATTGCAGAAATGAATCCATGATAAAACCTCTTTCAAAGGGCTTATTAGAGTTGTGGTTTCTTTTTTTATATTTCTCTGCTTTGCTGTAAAAATACTCTCAAATGCCACTATTTTATATTACTTTCTTATGAAATTTTATACTATACGGGGAATCGTTTAATACGAACGCCGGTTTTCTGATTTCAGAACGCTCAACGAAATGAAGCTATTACAGGGAATCGAACTGGGTACATTCAGCACTCTGGAGCACCTACGAACTATGTGAGTCAAGTTTCAATAATTGTAGTCTAATTTCTGACTTATTTTACACTAAGCGTGCCATTTGGGGTATTTTTTTTATCATTGTAATAATATTTGGCGAAGAACGCAAATCATGGAGTGGTTTTGTCCATTCTCCCATCACTTCATAACACCTCGTTCTCATGTGGGAAACAAAATTTCAAACCCATAAGAACAACTGTTATATGTATTTTAATCATCAGGCTTCAACCCTTTACGATTGTAATTCTCGTGTAGTCTACTCAAAATAATAGTCTAACCTGACAGTGATAGATGGAAGTTTTTGATTTTGGATTTCTGGTGATATCTGCAAAACACGATAAAAATCATAAAAAAAGAAAACCATTTAAACGGAAATATTTGAAAAGCTAAATAAATCAATAGCATCGCGAATTACAAAGATTCCTTGATTTTAAATGCCTTGTTTATGGATAAAATTAGAATTTAAAGGATTTCCATTGATGTTACTCCTATAGTCGTTTCATGTCGCACTTTTGACAACGAATCACGCGTCCTCTGTTTTGACACTGCCTTGAGGCAGTGATCCTTCTTCTTATTTTCCTCAGTTCAGTTTTTCCTCGTCTGCTTCAACGTGCATCTGAACTCACGTCTCTGTCTCGCCTTTAAAGATGAAAAGAATTTTCCACTGAAATGCACAAGTAAAATTGACATTGAAGTGTGCAATTTCTGTTAAAGTGGAAAAGGGATGTTTGATGTAAAGCCGACGAAGTGTGTCGTAAGACATTACTTCGTCTGATGTAAGTTGCACTGAATTATTTAAACAAAGGACGAATGGAATATACAGAAACGTCAACTTATCTTATTTATTGTTTGCTTTCGTGAACTTTTATGTTTTATGAATTTTATCCTCTGTCACATGCACTGGATATAAAATTAATGCATTGTTTTGTGACTAAAAACTAAACTAATGTTTTGTTTCTTGTTCTGAAGAACCTTGTCTCGCCGATATATGCGTAGGAGTGGTATTTTAGAATCACGCACTGACTGAGATAAAAGGATTAAGATAGCTTTAAACAGCCATCTTCACATTCGCTGCTGCGAGAATCTGAAATCTCAAAATAATGTTCTTAATTATTCGTGTTTTTTTCCCCGTCTAATCACAATTTTATATAATTAAAATTATACATAAGATATTAAAATATTATTTACATATTTGGTACAAATTTTTACTACATGTTTCGGTTACATTGAACCATCTTCAGGTGTAAAGTTAAAAGTTAAAAATTATAATCTTATAAACTAAAACTTAATTACTGTTGTTGTGTAACTTCTGATGATGTTTACATCCAAATTCATTGGAGTGAGGGTATATTTTGAAGTGATAGTGGTTTAACATTGGCCTGTAACGTAAATAATTTAAAATATTTTTAATTATTACTGAACTTGAAAGAACGAGTATAGAAGACAAAATGTAATAAGGTAAAAATAAATAAATAAAGTACCAAATATGTAAATGATATTTTAATATCTTATGTATAATTTTATTTATATACAATTGTGATTAGACGGAAAAAACACGAATAATTAAATTTTAATTCACAAGATGACGCAATTATATCAACTTATAATGTTCTTATTAAATTGTAGGGGATTTGTAAGGGATCGGCCATGTGCATCTTCATTGCACTATCCTGTGCATTTGCCTGGAGATACTGAGTAAAACCACAAAATTATTTTAAAAAGATATTCGCTGTCCCAGTCGAGATTCCAACTAAGGCCCTCTAAAATTAGAACTGGAAGTGATGATTATTTAACCTTTTCAGGCGTAATAATAAAATAGCAACTGTTTTGCCAGAATTTATAGCGCTGGATTACGAGTAGATCTGTCATGAAACTCTGTAATTAGAATGCCTTTATATTTCAACAAATTCATCTTTAATGAACGGGAACAGTGTTTACTGAAGGTGGGCTGGCGAACGGATAATGGGCTGAGGTAAACAGCTCCATCTATTGGAAAACAAACATGGTTAGGACTGAAGCAAAGCAAAGATCTTACGCAGGGGTGAACAATAATTATTGTTACACTTCTTTTCAAAATTAGCGGATCATTTCTTCGTCCGTAAAAATCCGCGCTAATTTTAAAATCCTGGAAATCCAATTCTGTGTAGCTAGAACTACAGGGTGATTGAAAAGGTAAGATTGCTAATGTAATCCTTGTACATTAATAAAAAAACAAAAATTAAGCTAGTAGGAGAATAGCAAAGTACGGTTATTTCAGCGGTACGTTACCAGACTTCCCTATCCTCAATGGCCTCGTCTGACTCAGGATAACTTCGGAGGATATGGATTCCTATTCGAAAGTTGTTCTCTCTGAGTCCCCTCTATACGCTCCTTCAGTTTGGCCCTAACCTTTTGAATCACCCTGTATATTCGTCCACCAGGCTACATGTAAGTCACAGCTCAACGCAAGTCTAACCTCAGGTAGTAAATTCCTTGAATTGTGAACTGCATCAATTAATTGATACTTTGTCAATTATTTTCATCATCTGTCATGCCTCCATTCATTCATTCCATTCTTTCTCCTTTTGTTTTTTGGATATATTTATTTAATTCCCGTCTTTTCTTCAGTCTTCGTATATCTCTCATTTTAGACGCATTCACTATTTCAAGTTGCAAAAATTCTCCCCTTGACTTCGTTCGTCACGTCTGTCCCAGTTTTAGGCGGGGACTCCCCGCTTGAGCGTCACCCGGTTACCATGGTTACCTGGTGGATCCCCCCCGTGAGGATCTCGTGTCAACCGCGGGGAACGCTCATCATCCATCCTCGGGGCGTCACGATAACGCCATTGACGCCCATGGAACTCTGACCTCGCCATTCGAGAAGGTCAAAGGACGAATTCTGGCCGACGCCATCTTTGTTACGTCGCGTTTAATTACCTTTTTTCTCTGTTTCTGCTTTCGTAATCTCATTTTCTCGCAGTTAGAGGCGCCCTCTCTCGTCGACAGCAGGTACATCCACGTAAAAAAAACAGAAGTTTATTGGGAGCGGCTTTTTCAGGGATTGGTCACGTGGGCACAGCTAATGATACCTTTGTGAAGGCACTCACAAACCGTCAGCCTCGAAGCGAGTTCGTCTCTTCAAAGCAAAAGGTAGTTGGCCTCAGCTGATTACAGGGAAGTCTTTTGTTACTAACGACGAGCCAGCCTTTGTTATCTTCCCAATGCGGGGTCTTTTTTTTGGGGGGGGGGGGGGTTTGTTAAAACAAGGGTTTCTCATGTGTTGAACACGGACAATAGTAATTCTTGCAACGTTGTAGTCGAACTCACGACACACAGAAACTGCACATCTGAGTGTAACGAGTAAAAAATTTTTATCAGAACGTCCTGTGTATTTCTAGGGAGTAGCATATTGTTTTATTTAAAAAAATAAAAATAAAAAATACAAAGCATTAGGTTCGCATTTTTATTCAGCAAAACAGACCAGATTTACAAAATTTGTGGGTTTCAAGGTAGTTTTGTAGGTAGTTACCAACGTATCAGAGGATGTTCCTCCGAAACGTCGGTATACTTGCAAGTCCACACGGCATCACAACTCAGATGACCACAATTGACAAGGCCGGTGATGTTTACAGATCAGTCAGTGTCTGTGGTTGAATATAACTTATTTTAATTTATGATTTATTTGCACTAAATTTTTATGACTGTAATAATATTTTCGTAACGGAGGTAATTTCTGTCAGCAAATGTACCTACGACGAAGAATACTATATTCACTAGCTGTTCTTGGTCGGGGTCTGCTTTGCATTGCAAATATAATAAATTCATTCAGAAATGAATGAAGGAGTATAGGTAATGGAGAAGCCTCGATGTATTCGTGGTGATTGTACAGCTGGACGAGCCGCTGTTTGCAATACAAACTTCGAGCATGCTGACGTAATGTCAGACACAGTGAAGGTCGCTTGTTGCCCGACGTCATTTCCTGTACTACGCGGTCCGCGATTCTAATGCGGTCCTCAAACCTTCCGGGACATGGAACGGCGTGACACATTTATGATGGATGAAAGACATTGAGATTTAAGTGGATTTCATCTGACGCAGACAAGAGCCAGAGGTTCAACACCGCTGTCTGAAGCTATCCTGAGCCATTCCCTTCCACCAACATCAAAACCTGCTTAGGTAACACAAATTTTAATATTATCTTACTGTCGTCTGGTCCTCTAAGTGTCCGCATTCAAAAAGGTTTACGAACCTGCATTCTACACAAATCCTCCCCGCCCCAGTACAGAAATCCATCACCAGTCGCGGTTTGGCGAAGAACCGGATTTCAAGTTTCCGCTGTTCCCCGTTTTGCCAACCTCAGTGTTTGTCAGATATCGAGGATAAGTAGGATTAATTGACACAATTTTCGTGAATGACGAATTCGAACGAATATGGATGCGGTCGTGGACTATTTAAGGTAATACCGCACTACTTCCTGAAGGTTCTGAGGAAAACCTTGGAAAATCTTCCCCTATATCCTGTCTTCGGGCCGATATTCGAAGCTGATGAGCAGAAACTCCCAACCATGTATATCAGATTCCTCAGAATGTGAGATTTGAGATTCTGGCAGCGTTAAGATCTCGATGTACGTCTTCCGACTAGTGAAACCTTGTTGATTTCGTGGCAGATTCCAGCATTTCGGGGAAGCATACTGCCTCCATCTTCAGGGAAGACCAACGTGGTGGATATATTTCACGGGGCAAGCAAAATAGGATTCAGTATTTGGTGTGACACTCTGCTTTCAATATGATTACAGATACATTTCCGAAGCTCCGCTGCTGAAAGAGTTACCTGCGGGAATATTCGATGGACTGACTGATAAATTCCTTTCCCTGTAAGTATAAAGTTGTGTTTCCTTTACGTAAAGAAGGCTTCCTGTATTCTTGTATTCCCTTGGAAATATACCTAGAATCATGACGGAAGCTTCATTATGAGGCGGCTTGGGGGCTTAAACTTTCGTGTTCCACCCAAGATAAAGTCTGCTTCGTTGTTTATAAACTGAGGGTCCATGACACTGTCACGAACTCAATCAACGTTCGGTCTCCTGTTAGTGGGCTCCGGTACGTGAGAACTTGGCTTCATTACTGTCCAGCGTGTTTACGGAGCGGACATGTACATGTTTATCTCTCGTTTTATAAAAGTGCAGTAATCCTTTGCTAGATATTTATTGATAGATTCAGTTATGGGCATAGACCTTGAACTTCATGTGAGTGGGGGTGTGTAAAGTAACGTTCAGGGTGACTGTATAGATTTATGCTCAGTTTAATCAGTTGAATATTTTTAATTCTGCTGAATACATTGTCGCAGAATTCTTGGAATGCGTTTATTTAACGACAGAGCATGATTCATCAGTGATTTCATCTGCAGAGATTATATAGTGTCAAATGAAATGATGATCACGAATGACAGTACTGATTTGGAAAGAGGCAGCTATTACCTATTTAAATGTACTATTGCGATATTCTTTAGGAAATAAAGATAAAAGCAGCGAAAAGCTTAAGGTAGGAAGCCCGTAAGCCGATGGAAAATCGAACTTGGTCCATTCCTATTACGGATACAGACAATGCAAAAGCTTGTGAAATTAGAGAACGCTGGTGTTCGATCAATGCTTATAAATTTAGAAAAATGTGAGGGGATGATTTAAAAGTTGAAATGAAGTTAGGGGAAGATCAGGGTAGCTCAGAATCCGCCGAAATCTCTCAGTGGGTGGATGTCCCGAGCCCCAGGACGCCCGTGTAATTAACGTCCGTGTCAGACACGGTATCTCAATTAATGAAACGGTGTTTAACGATGTCAGTTAAGTAAGTGCTTCCTCGTTTCTCTTTGTTTATCCAGGTTCCGTTTATTGTTTTAACAACGTAAATTATGCCTTTGTTACCATGGATGTTATGCACAAACAAAATAACACACTTTTCTAAACGAAACTAAACATTAAAAAATTTAAAATATATGTTCAGTTCTTACGATGAAAAAGGATGAAATATTTTTATTTGTGTTACAGAAAAGCTTTTTAAAAGCTGTGGCCTTAGAATCTCATTCCAGGACTGGTGATTGGTGATATTTTGCTGACGAATAATCTCATAAATATGTCACTCCTCTGATTAAGTTCTCTGTGTTTATTTCAGTCGAATAATGAGGACAGGACTTGAATATCTTCCAGACATGTCTCACTTCTCCCAAGGATCAATAATGCATATGATGTAAGTAATTCGACATAAATGAGACACAGACTTCTTAAATTACAAATGCCCACGACAGGTTTCAAATTTTACAGAGTAAAACCTCAGCACTGAAAACTACGTGAGGGATATTTTCAATGCTGTTTTCTGCCTTGTACAAATTTTGTGTCAAGGAGAAAAATCCTCTGAACTGAACTTTATATTTGTATATTAGAAGCCACTTCTCTTTCTTGGAAACGTGAAGCTTTTTCCTTCAAAGACGTATTTTATTTTTATTCTGACTTTTAATAAAATTTTAAATTCATTTTAAATATCAATGGCAAGTCTCCAGTATAGAGTGGGCAGAAAGATTATTGCATCTCGGCTAATGCAATTGTGCAAAATTATCCTTTTACCTCATGCCAGACGGAGTCACGGGTTGATTGGTCGCAAAATTACAATGAGTGTGCAAGGAAAGGCTTTTCTTTTGTGAAACATTTTTCCTTCTCATACCTAAAGAGACCTCTGTGGGAAATCACATAACCAGAAGAATGTTTGTCATACTGCAGCTTATTACCATGGCAACGGAGTTTAAATTTTTGTTCGCACTTTTCATTTACGTTCCTCAGTTACCGCAGATTCAAACAGACGAAGCTTATAGGACGCACGAAAAGATGTGAAACCTTTCCCATAAACTCTTCGCTGTCTGTCGTATGTCTTCGTGTCTCCAGCTCAAAATTATGGACGTTCTTTCATTAGATCTGGCGTATGAGATCGTCGCGATGTATTGAAACTTAATTTATATTCAGATCCACCCGTTGTGTACCGAGAGGAGGACTTTTAATTCTTTTACACTGTTAAAATATACACAGCGTAAAAATATTTCAGATATGAATTATACATTTCAAATTACATAATACTTATTTTATTATAAGATGTGTTTAGGAAATTTAATATAATTCTATACTATCTTTAAGATCTCTGATGCTTGTTATAAACTTTCATCTTTAAACTATTCTTCCTTATAGGAAAGTATTAGCACAATGCTCTGTGTTTCAGTGACTTGGAAGGCAACAGGATTCGAGAAATCAAGCCAAATTCTATCCGGGTCAAGGCTTATCAACTGTAAGTATTTTTTGTGCCAAGACGTAAATAACCCAGATTCTCCGCTCTCGCGCCTTCCACAATATCCGAAAGTATTTAACCTCAGTAATTACAAACTGTACGATGTGATTTTAGCAAGTGTGATTCCACAAATGCTGTCAGTTCCCTTGGTTACAACCTAATACGTGGCCAAATTAAGATATTTCGGAACGAATAAAGATCACATTCATTACTAAATTTTGAGAATATTAAATTTTGGGGATGTTTGCTCACCGTAGAGTTAAGAATTTTGTTTTCCGTGATTTTATAACGTAAAGATTAGAATAAACAAAATTAATTATCTCTCACATTAAAGGAAGGACAAGTGATGAGTGTTTTTGAGAACAC